ATAAACTAGTTAGATGTGCTTAGGTGGTCATAGTGATAAAATATAATACACATTACCTTTCAAAAGTACTAACTAGTGTTCCTAAATTGGTTGTTTCTGCGACTGGGTATTTCTCCTGGTCGAGTTAACCAATCAGCTAATTATCCTATGCTCACTCCTTATTGGTCCATTTTATATGTTGGAAACCACACCCTATCGCTCAAAATCTGATATGCCTCTATACAAATTCTGATATACAAAATAAATTGCAAACTCTGACTTTTAAACTTGAAGAATGACTAACAAACCAATTGCTCCTCAAAATTCTCAGACACCAGAAGATTCAACAGAACGGTTCGATCCACAGTCGATCAGTTTACGAGCTCAAAAAAAGTTGGTTGGAAGTTTACCAAAAGGGATTATTAAATTATTTCTTGATGATTCATCGGCTCGTTTATTTGAAAATATATTTAGTTTGATCAAACAATATACAGGTAATAATAAACTAGCTGCTTATCTAACAAAGCAGGCAATTAAATTAAATGTCAAAGCCTTAATTTTAATATCAAATGACATACTATCAGACGAACAGTTGAACCATGCTTATGAATTTCATGAGAAATGTCATCAAATAGCTGAGATCGCATTGCGCTTAGGTCGACCCAAGCGTCGTCTAATGCCGGGTGTTGAACCGTCAATTGATAAATTGATACAAACAATGAAAGAGGCTAACCAAACGTTAATAGAAGCCGTTAAGCACCATATTAGTCAACAATCACAAGACAAGTTTAAAGAATTTTCGGACTTTTTCTGTCATCGTGAATTCGTTGTTGAAGTGTTTACTAATAAAGTGAAATATTCAACGCATATGGAAAAAATCTATGATGACCTCGAAGATATGATGGACCGTGGCTTATTTTGATTTTATTCTCCAACGCAGGAAAGGAATATAACAAGTCATATGTATGATCTAATTGTTTGGAATGCTGCTGTGCAAAATATATTGTGTAAGCTCGTCGGCAATGAAAGATTTATGGCCAATGTTATGAATTCATTATTGAGTAAATTGTCATTAAATATTTATTCATATTCCGTAACTTCACCTAATTCTTAACTAGTAAATGAATTATCGCACTTTAGAAATCTTATTCGGTTGACGACTATTTTTTGCAGATCAATAATTGTTAATTTTAAGTTTTCTACTAAGTCTATTGAGTACGCAGAGACATTATATAACGATGAGACTATTGGTGTAAGTTCTTAGCCACTACACTACCTAAAGAAGTACACACTGATTCTGTTCAACTAACTAGATGGTAAACGTGGATAATGTAAAGTATGCGATAAATTTTTGACGCGCATTGATTTTATTAGTCACTCGTTGGAACAGAATCAGATTAAACATCATCATACAAAGTGTGTACGAAGTCGTGATGAGAGAATCGGTAGTGGGAATAGATTATAGTTGACGGAATATCTTTACTGAAAAATGTAAGCCGTACAACCTATTCAAAAGTTGCCAAACTTTATGACAATGAAGAAACGTTCAACAAACCAGCATAGAAACGTGCACCTTATGAATAGCTAGAATCATGTAACTGTTGGGAAGAGATCATGAACATACAATCCACTTGTCAGACTACTTTACTTGTTTTGACCCAATATTTTCCGGGGCTAAGTTTTTTTGTTAAATAGAAGCTTTAGCAGTTAGTGAGCTTTGAAAAGCCAGTGCGTAGATTGTGTATTCTTATCTGGCAGTAGTAGCTGTAACGTTCTGTTTGTCTTATTTAAGTGCAATATGTTGTAAATATATTTAAAAGTTTCCAAATAAAATTCAAAGGAACTCGAGAGATTGATCGGTTTCGAATAACGGATACGGACTAGCATTGGCAGCTGGACTTCAATGGTAACTATATACACATTACTAAACCGACAACAAATGTAGTGTAAGCAGCAGAAAAAGAAGTTGTAACCGGAGTCGATTATTCTGTTAGTAAATTTTTTACAAAAAGAAACTTCAGCATCACCGTTTAAAACGAAGTGATTAAACTCAGAGAAGTAATGTTTTTGAAGTACTAGTGAACTCACCAGTTTGTTAGCAATTCGAAATACTAACCAATAACATTTGAAGAAGCTTATCATATTCTAAATGGATTAGTAGATTTCTAGACTAAAAATCAGTAGTGAACCGTTACATGTTATATATGTAAATACATCTGAATCTCAGATCAAGACAAATGTCCGCTGATTTCTAAACGCTGTTAAAATGATGGTTGGTTACGTGGGCTATAGTCGGATTATACAGACCTTTAGACATATATAAACAATTTTCATAAGACACTTCAGAATAATTAGTGATTTTAAAAACCGCTAAAAAGGATTTCGACTATTCAAAACATTTTTGATTTCCACCAATATACATGGGACGATGCTAAACAGAAAGGATGACAATGTCAAGCGAAGAACAACGATTGCTCGGGGCATAAATACATTACGTTGACACAAACAGCACAAATAAAATAAAACATTACTGATTTTTAATACATTTTTCTCAACTACACATCTATTATAGCCCAATAAAAATAATTATTACGCTTAGTGATGGAACGATCAAAGATATTCCGCGAAGGCATGCCGATTCCGAAGTAAAGTAGCCACTCGCATGTAAAATGAATAATATACGAAGATTGGTGTTTCTATGTTTCCAACCACTGGTAAAAATAAACCTTACTGGGAAATTAACCGTCAGCTAAATATTTAACTCAATATATTCACAGACTAAGAGAAACAGTAAGTAATTGAACCATTCCAACAGTTTAGCTTGAATAAGGATTTCAACAAACATAATAGGATCAAGAATGAATGTCTAAATAGTTTTTCGAAATCTCAGTAGAATAGACCTTTAAGATTAAAAAGAGAAATCCAAGTGTGTAATAAGAGAGAAATATAAGCTAGCTTAACAAAAAGAACTCCCTAAACAGAAGTGAGACTATTATAAAATGATTAACTGAGCTTCATAGGATTCGTTGAGTTGCAATGTATTTATTGAACAGTACCACAGAACTTACTTTTTCTTACATTAAGACGATTTCCTAACGTCGTGGTACCAAGAGCTAATGTAGCTATACATAGACTTGAGGTCAAACAAATTTTCATGTAGATTTCCTCTGTTTTATTCATGTGGTGAACAAGCTTCGGTTTTGATTCTTGGAACACAGACTAATGACCATTGTATCTAAATCTAGCTAGTCCAAACGATAAAACTTAGACTAACTGACACGATTCATAAAAGATTGCACTAAGCGAGCAACGAATGGTTATTAATAGGTTTACAAAGCCTATGAGAATGGCGCACAAAACCAGATTGGGAGGGTACGCAAGCATTATGACAAGAGCATCACTGAGCTTGGTAACATGCTTAATATCTCGTGAACAAGAGGAACATAATCTAACAAGAAACACTACATTGCCGTAATCGGCATTTCATTTTTAACCTAAACAGATCGAGACTAAAAAAGCGAAGAACATTACTGGTATAAAAAGTTTGAGAATTGTCCAATCCTTAGTTTATATGAAGGACTGTTTACATCTACACAATCATTGGACGTCGATAAGCAATGGATAGCTGTTTTGTTGAAACCGGCGACATTTTGATGTTGTCGGTCTACAATCATTAGATAACAACGCAATAATACTTAAGATTATCCCAGAAGTTTTATCTTCGGCAAGAGAGTGAATGCATACTCTTGAGAAGTCCTATGTGTGGGCGAAGTATCTGTTCAATACCTCCCGATTCTCAATATATTTAAGATAAATCAGGAAATAACATCTAGACAAGAAGTTATTAATTGTTCCTCTTTAACTGAAGTGTGGATGCAATTGAATTGTACCAAAAATGACCATTTATTGATAATACAGTAATTTATTGTAAGGCTATTTTCTGAATGGCTGATTACCCCATTACTGTAATAATAGCAAGTTAGTATTATTGTTACATGATGTAAAGGAGCTCTTAACGTTTTGTTGATTCTTTAATATTTAGAGTTTCTGCCTATTAACGTTGAATGAATTAAGACAAAATAGTGGAAAACGGATAAAAATTTGGGCAGGAAAGTAGGCCAAATAGTAAGAGGGTTTTACCTGGTGGAACTGTAATAATATTGATATTTCTCGTAGACATTTATAAATAATAATGAATAACCTTTTGTCATTTTCGAGGCGTGGCAATGTAGATGAAAATATAAACAATCACAAACTATATCTGATATTTCGGGTTGCCTCGGTTACCACTTGCAAATAAGTTGAGTGCGTTAAGCCGAATTCTCTACTGCATATAAATTTTGATTTTTTCAAAAATAAAGCAAAATGAACGTTACGTAATACCAATTACGAAGCCTATTAAAACCATGTTATCAATAAACTAAATCGCTGATTTCCGATTTATTAAACTCAGCCAAACTGGAACATTAGACTAATCGCTATGCTTGGAATGAGAGACACCACTCTTAGGTGTCATGAAAATGGAGAACGAATTCGTATGCATTAAATTGAGGTAACTTCCGGAAGAGGTTTTTATACCGAGAACATAACTACTATGAGAATTTATACAGTGACGACCACCGAACAATCATCTCAGAAGTTATCACGAACTGATAAATTGTTACTCACTAACCAAATAAAGGTTCGGTTTGCAGGTTTAGAGCCACAATTTAGTGTGATAGAATTAGGAAACTAAACCGAAGGTGGAGTGAGACTGAAAACTGAGACTTAATAATCGTACCTTGCACGTTTTAACCACAAGGCCAACACACAAAAACCCTCCGACTAACTAATAATTATTTTCTTGGCATTAATAAGAGTTAATTGGGAGAGAAAGCAATCTGTCTGATACAATAACCTATGTATGAAGTTGAACTGACCTACTTCTGTTAAAAAAATCAGCTTGTTGAAATAGGCTAGGAATAGGACCCTTTTCATCGTTCCAGGACCTTTAAACAGAATTAATAAACAAGCAAACAAACTTTGTCTGCAACAATCAATTTTGATAATCAGTAAATATGTACTCATTATAGGATGACTAGGTTTCATCATAAATAACTTGACGAAATTAGGTTGGAGGTTTAGGAAATGCTTTTTGAAAACCATAAACATAGAAATCCCGACCAGTTCAAGGATAGAGACATAGTAGCCCAGCAAGAGGAAAAAGTGATCTGTAGCAAAAGAACGAGATTTGGAATAAAAGAAAAGCAGTGCAGGTAAAAGTTTTATCATACAAAAACAGTGAATTAGTCTTCTGATTTGAATTTTTTACTTTGTGGTGTATTAGATGCAGAAAAATTTGCGCCTCGCTTTCCGCCGAATGAATGACGTTCACCACCACGCTGACCATTCATTTCCCTCCCACCACGAAATCCGCCTCGATTACTGTGACCACCTCCATCACTCCACCGTCCACGAGAACCACCACGTCCTCCTCGGAAATCGCCACGACCACCCCGAGAATCCCCCCTTCCTCGACCACGTGAAAAATCATGTCCGCCCCGACCACCTCTTTGATCACCACGACCACGACCACCTCTTTTCCCTATTGTTAAGAAAGTAATTTGGTGATTATATGACTTTGTAAGTTAGGAATTTAAAACTAGTAGATAAAAGAACTTATAAATGTTCCTCAGGTGACAAGGTGTGCAAAGAATTCAGTATTTAAGTACTTTTAAAAATATCTAAGAAAGGTCTGAGGACGAAAATGGGATTTTCTTTAGTTTTCATACAAAGTGTCTTGACCAGACTGTTTGAAATGTATGGGGTGAATACATCACACTCCTTATATCAGCTAATTTTTTTATTATTCAGTCAAACCAACAAGTTTACGATAGGTTGTACACACATAAACTTGACATTCTGATAGATGACACAAGGATTGAGACAGGAAACCTGAGAAAACAAAGGACTCCGTTCTGAACACAATGGATTCTTTTATTCAGCACTTTATTTTATTTATTTATTTGAACACATAAATATTGGTACGAAGGGGCACCGAATACATATGTGGTACACAAATTCTATTTTTGTGTGGGCCCGGGTACCCAGTCCGATGCAGGAGTATTCAGTAAACTTCTCATTAACCGTAATTAAACAGTTAACTAAGTATGGCCTATGCTCGCAATGTAAAAAATGGCACCAGTCGGTTCTATTCAAAAGCGACTTAATATCAACTGACCTATTTCCTTACAGTTTTGAAGTGTTGCCGTAATAATTTTAATGACATTGACTTAATGTAGTGATACAAGTTATCAGAATTCGAGTAAATAGATTTAGTATCCATTTTGAAATAATAAAAACGAAATGTACAGGTTTGATGACGTCTTCACACTATACTAACTTGAACAAAATATGGTAATCCTGAAGACCTTATGAGACATCACTGATCCTGTAAGTCCTCACAAAAGAGACGGAAAATCATAGGTGACATTTTATTTTAAGATATAGATATTGGTACAAGGAGGCACCAAATACATACGCGCCACACAAATCTCATTCGATATGTGTGAGGGCTGTGATACTGCCCGGGTGCCCAAATCGAAGCAGGTGGTTTTCGCAGGGGACCACCCCCGAGCCTTAGACATGAAGGTCCAACCCACAAGTCAGTGAAGCATCGTAAGGAGATGCAGTCTCATGGTAGCCGGTGATCAACGGTTGGTTCATAAGCCATTTGTTCCTTCAGGATACTGTAGCCCATGTGCACTATTGGTTTGGAACAAGGGTTTTCCAACTCCCCTAGGTGGACTCTCCATGTCCACCAACCTGGTTAAAGAGCCGGACATTCGCTTTTCTTCCCCTTAATTTCGAAAACAACACCCCCGCCACGAGAAGGCAGTGAGTAGGACTTCACTGGCAGAGGCTGTATACGCGTGACCACGTGAGAGTACTTGGAGTAGGAGAGCGGACTCTCACCACTCTCGGCCGTACCAGGGCATTTAGGAGCACAGGTGACAACTAGATGTGTGAGCCATACAGTTTATTTACACCAAACAAAATCATAATGATACGACATACTTTTTATCATAGGCCCTCGGGCAATATCGAAGCCCTTACAAATATCAGTGATAACGGTTACTGGCCTCATTGTTTATGTGTGGCGCATACGTATTTGATGCCCCCTTGTAACAATGTTTGTGTTCAAATAAACAAAACAATAATAAGACATCATTTGACTCAACCTAGGAAACAGTTCATGATGTGCCATTAAATTTTCAGTCTAGAAACAAAACCTAGTTGTTTTTTGCGTGCATAATACCACACTATACTGTGGTTAAGAGTAAGCCATAATCAATCTGAAACTGCCAAACCGTTATTTTGAACAATGTTTTGCTAATTTATGTAAGGTTAACACAGTCACAAGCATATCAACATATAATACTGACAGTTAAATAACCTGATCACTAATTGTTTCAAGGTCACAGAACCAACACCACAACAGTACGTGAAAGATCTCTCTCGGGAATTGATGACCACTGACTGCATTACGAACATTATGACTCGAAAAAAATGACATATTTCAATAACGAAATTATTTTTTGGTACTATAGGACTGATTTCAAGTGATAGAAATATAAATCCAAACGAACGAAGAATAAGGGGTTGGTCAATACCACGGTTTATAACAGTAACAGCACAAAGTATGGGATTTGGCATTGTAATTAAGATATGGCATCAAGGACTACAATCGTAGTTGTAAGTCATTTTTGAGATGGTATTTTGGCTAGTCTATGAAAGCTTAAAATCCTAATTCACTAACATAATGCCATTCATTAACGTTAGCTGTATGTTAATTGAATGAAAAATCGCTCATTTCGCACTGATAGTTTAGTCTTGTTATGCTTATGACTGAAGATTAAACTAAATGTCAGTGTTCAAGAATAAATTAATATTAGTTTGTGCCTCTTAAAGCGAACGATTAGAGATACACACAAAGCTACAGTTAGAATAAATTTTACAGTCAACTCACCTCTACTAGAATTCGGGTTCATCACGCGATCAAGTGTGAGAAACTTGGCAGGATCCATAAAAAACTACAAAATATCATATGATCTGGATAATAATGAATACCTTAACACCTTCTTGAAAAGATTTACTTTTAAGTGTATCTGAAAGTTTGATTGAAAAGTACTAGTCAAATGGATTAGGTAAAATAATTAAAAACAGTACTGCATCTTTAATTGGGCCAAAAACTTCATCGACTTTGCCTATTTCTTCTTTGTTCGCCAAATAAACAGGAGCATTTGAGTAAGGTATTTTTTCCGATGTGATTTTACAGACAATATCTTCTTGACATGGATGAGCGAATACTCCAACTTCGACAACCTCTTCAGGTGGACCACTTTGAAACTTATCAGAAAACCCTCCTCCCCTGGAGCCTCTTCGAAAACCACCCTGGGAACCACGTGAACCACCTCCTCTTCCTCTGAAATTTTGAAAGCCCATGACTCACGCCGAAGAAAATCGAAAACCCGCCTACCTCAGGCCAGAAACAAGGACGTTTGACAACCTTCACTACTAAAAGCAAAATACTCTTCAGTCTATTAATTGTAACGATAAATTCTAAAACGATATCAAGTAATAAATGGTCAAATATATATGCGTATTTACTTATAATGAATGGCGTGTAAAACAAAATATGAGGTTACACATTTTAGTTTTCGTTCAGGCTGCTGTTCGTTTCGTTCATCTTCAAATTACTTGTGAGTTGTCATTGACTACTACCTCAATAAGACGTTTAAATTTTAAATTTTTTTCATTCACGTAGTCACAAGTTTTTCATCATTTTCAATTTATAAAAAGCCCAATTTATACAACCTCCGTAGGTTGTATATTTAGGCGAAAAGTATACAATTCGGCGACGTTTGAGAGACAGAGAGACTAAAAGTGGAAGACCTGCATTATTTTCCCGGGCAGGCTAGAAAAAGCAGACATTTTTGCGCGTTTCCCCATTATTTCCCCTTTATTTTCCATTTGTTCGCCTTGATTTCCTCCAAATTGGTTGTTTGGGACATTTTATATCAACTTTAAAAGTGAAATTCATGAATACACATTCAGAAACGCTCTCCAGTTATTTATTGCTTTTGACTTTCAGATGTTCTCTCTCGTGACTGCCGTGTCTCACCTAACCAAGATTTCCTCTTACACCATCCCGTTACAAAGTTCCTGCAAGTTGACAATCTTGAAGGCAGTATGGTTGTATTATCTCATAACATGACTTCTTATCCACGCAACTTCTCGTGTGAGCTTGTTGTGCATTCACCGATTGAGAATGCCAGAATTATGATGAAAATTGAGGAATTTTATGTCCCCTCTAAGACTCGCAATTGTGTTGAGAATTACTTATATGTATTCGATTCTAATACAGCAAAGTCCAAGGCTATGGTAAGTCTTGTGAACTGATTTCTGTTACTGCTTACAAATATGCATAGAACGTTTGCCTAAGGTGTGTTCAGTCTTCAGCAGTTGGAATAATAGGTCGTTGAATTTGTGTTGATCCGTGTACCTTGTTCTTTAGTGATAATCCAGCTTCTCCTTGAAGATGTTGACTGATAAGGCTGATACAACTGATTCAGGTGAGGGGTTCCAGTAGGCGATACGCTATTGGTAGTATACTGGTATTTATTACTATATTAAATGTGCATTGGCAAACTCTACGATTAATTTTCAAAGCCCATCTTTGGTACCATCCAGTTAATTCATCTAGGTCAGCTTGAAGATCAAGATTATAGTTCTCATTTAAACGTCATCTGCAAATAAGTTTCGACGACTTATTACGTTAATTCTTTAACGTTGGGAAGAAATTTTAAGGGACCTAAAATAATACCTTGGAGTACGCCACTTTTAACCAGTTTACATTCAGATGTCCTATTTACCCTCACCTTCTGACGCCAGCTATAGAGGAAAGTTTTTATTCACTATTGTATGGCGGCTATTATTATAAAGCTGTACGGCTTGTGCACAAGCCATAAGACACTTAATCAAACGCTTTACTAAAAGCTATAAATATCACGTCGACAGACAAACCGTTATCTTGGGATCCTGTTCAATCCCCTCTCGCAACTAGTAAGTTAACTAAGCATGAATGTTTATTCCAAAACACGTGTTGCTCATAATTGAACAGATTGTATGATTCTATGTGACTCAGTAACTTGGGCCGAGTTATGTTTTTAAACAATTTAACTAATATGCTGGTTAAGCTGCCATGTCCGTAGTTAGAAAAGATGTCTCCATACGTTAGTGTAGGGCTACCTATGGCATCCTTCCAATCCCTGGGGAGTCGAACTTAGGAAAAGATTTCGTTAAATAGTTTCCTGAGTGGTCCTCAAATAGTGTTTAAGAGGGTTGTCAGCGATCGTAGGTGTAACCCATCAGGATCGGGTGACTTACTAGGCTTAAGGCTAATAAGAAATGAGACAACAATCAGCCTAACTCCACGTACAAATATGACTTAAGACAAAGTCTTCAGCAAGATAACGTGGTCACTACTCCGTGTCTAGATTTAATTGTATAACAATCTGCTTCACGTATACCGTTATCGTGCGTCTCTGATATCCTCGATTGTACACGAAAGTGGTCTCACACATGTAATATTATGTCTCCTCCCTTGTGATTTATAACTCTGTTACTTCTAATACAGTTGACCCCTGCAATAATTGGAGAACAGTTTACATCTACGATGAGCCACTCTTCATAACAACAATTATATCGGGTCTTAATTTTTTCATCATCAAGGTTAACTTGATCATTTTATTTTTTAGACTACGAGGACTTGTGTGTGTTAACTTGTGTTTTGTGTAATTCGCACTTATTGCATCAATAAATCCAAATATTCTACATCTATGTTCCACAAGCTTTTTAGATATATTATGTTTTATAGACAGAAGCTGGTGGAGAACGTGGTTTATGTGGACCGAATTATCCGAAGTATCTTATATTTACGAAAAAGTCCTACATATGTTTAGCTTTCCAGTAAGTCGTTGTATATTTATATATAAACTGTTCAATCACTATCGGTTTCATAGGACACAGGCTGTAGGCATCAAAGATAACTCAGTCGCAACAATTAAATAACAAACTAACTCAGTTACCAGATGTGTACCATTATACTTAGTCTATTGAGCTAAATTTATACTACTTTCCCTCCTCTTATTTGAAGTAGACGAAGCGATTTTGAACTTGCAATATACTAACTGAGGCTAACCCTATAACAACTGACCTACAGCTCTATGGTCCAATTGTTTATCAGTTCGTCGTTCTTATGCAATCTGTCTGAGTGAAGCGAGGTGATTTTTTTAAAATTGTAAATATAACGAAATAAAAATTGACCCGTAGATCCAAACACTATTCTCAGCCATTTGAGTGTAACAAAGACCTGGTTTTCGATCGGTTCATATATTTTTATTGGTCGAGTACTTGGTTATTTGTTATAAAGGTTTTGTTTCTCATCACAACTCTACTCAAATATGTTATCTCAGGTGTGTCCTTATTTAACTTGTCTACATTGACATATTAAAATAATTCACATTATCTTGTTCTCAGTACCTCATCTCGACGACCTCCCATTTTACCCGGTGTGAAACCTGGATTTCGAGTTATTCTTACTGCAATTCAAGAAAGTAAGTCTACTAAGATAACTTACTAATACATCTTTGATACACTTTACTCCATGTCATTCCCCTTGTAATTAGTTGTCAACTGATAACACCTGTATAATTTGACGTGAGAACAAAGACTGGTAATTTAACTCTCAAATACTGATGCGCTTTACACAAAGTTGTGTTCTCCCAAATTCTAATCTTCTGAATTCTTCATGTCCCTTTCTTCCTCTTTCCAAATTTATTTCACTGGATTATACTCTTTAAATAACATCTTCAAACCCTAATCTTCCCGATTACTCCTTATACTCTTGCTACCTCTACCACTACGGGATTTGAATCGACAACTGCATCTCTGTGTTAAGGTGGTGTGGCAACTCGAACTGATGTACGTACGTACGAAGTTCTGCGTTGTTACTGACTGACTGACTGTGTAGAATTGCTGCGTTAATATGGAAGTGGTTATTCGCATGTGAAATATTCAATGTTTTTTCCGAATAGTACAATTTCGTACTTAGTCGCTAGTTGCATTGAATGCCTGTGAATATACTCCCAGTTTATAAATCCCATTTAAATGTAGGATGTTTTGGTCATTCGTCTGGTTACACCATCAAGTGCGATATTAAAAATGTAGTTCAGTGAAATTTATTAACCCATCCTAGATACATGTCGCAACCTAGAAAGTACTGCGAAATGATAGCTTCCTATTTGCTCCACGTTTCCTTTTGTTTATTCTTTTAGAACCATTGATATCATTATTTCAAATCTTTTGACTTTATTCTTGGTAATTTCTTCCTGTACTGACAGTGTGCTAATTTGGATCAGGTGATTCATTTTTTACGAATGGACTACCGAAGAATTTCTGTTATAACCTAGCGTATATAATTTCAAATGTAGTATTCTGCCGAACATCAGCAACGTGATATATTTACTACCTTAGGCATTACTAGTTTCGAATTTCTGTTATTGTACTCAGTGCGAAGCACATTTTTGCGTAGTTCGATTTAACAAATATAACTTACTGCAGGACGAAAAGATTCTTCGGTATGCAGCTTAGCAAGTGATATCAAATTCAAATTATATTCGGATTTGTACTATCAGGAACCGTTGCATTAACCGCTTAACCAAAACGTCACGTACTGGATAATCTTGATAATATTCAACTCACCGATTCACAGTAACTCAATTCAAATTGGGTTTATCCGAATTTACTTCCTACCCTAACTACAAACCATTGTAGCAAAGCCAAGACGGATAATTAAAAATCGAGTTAGTAAGTCACTTATGATTAGTGGATTTTTCAACGTGTCGTCCTTGACCATCAGAATTTGATTTTTTTTATCCATACTTTAAGGATTCCTAAACGTCCTTTTTGACAAGGTCTGTTTAAAATCTCAAGAAACAAAGCATTTTTCATAATATTTATTTACACCGCTTTATAAACTATTTTTTCTCATTTTAACAGCTCGAAATAGTAGTTGTCCATCAAGCAACTTTTACTGCAGTGCAGTTCCTCGTTTCATGGGGGCAAATTCTATGATAACATCAACTTCACTTAGTGCAGATAGCCGGTTGTATGGATCATTCTTATCTCCTCCTCAATATATCCGTAGTTTAGATGACGACAGATTTCCACCTAATCATGATAAACAATATATGGGATATTGTATTACAAAGAAGAGTTTATGCGATGGTATTACGAACTGTGAAGATAGGAAAGATGAAGATATTTCTCATTGTCAAGCTTTTATTGGTATGTTCAGTGAAATTACGAGTTTCCATGTTAACTAATAGGTAATCTTCATTGATGTCTTTTTTGCTTACTGGATGGTAACTAACCTCTATTAACGTTGTTATTCAGCTCTCCTTTTACTAAAACCTCGAAAACAAATGTAATTATTAGTAGGTGTTATCACATATTTCCATGTTGATTTTCTCAAGTATTAGCTTAATGTAAAAAAAGATAATCACTCACTCACTAGCCGATAATCACACTATACCTGTTTACATAATAGCATTTTTTGTTTTCACTCACAAACAAGAAAAATAATTAAACGTAACTTTACTGTTCTACTGATCAGTGCCTGTTATCTAAGAAAGAAACCAATAATGTATACAGTTCACATCACCACTTGATAGCTTTGTATATGGTATACAGTACAATATTTAAACATTTATGTTCTTCTCATCTTGGAAAATCGCTTTTATATTTGGTGTAAGTTGACTGTCTATCATTCTCTGTATAAATACTATTGTTGAACCTGTTCCAATTCAACTGTTAAGAGAATCAACAGGAAATACACAACAACCAGTCCTTCATGTTTAATGATGAAATTCATATGTGTGAGCTACTGTAATTTGAATTGAATCGATGTACATATGTGCCAGGTTTTAAGTTGCATATGATTAACCGCCGTTTGAATGTGTTTAAACTTAAGTAATATCGTAGTTCATGTCATGTGGATCGAGCGTTTAATCCATTGACAAGATAAAACAATATTTGAAAGGTTTCCTACGATAACAGTCAAATTATAAGGTAGTTGAACGGCGAAATTGCATCCGCTATGTAATCATTTGGTTTTCTGTTAATACTCTTGCTACCTCTACCACTACGGGATTTGAATCGACAACTGCATCTCTGTGTTAAGGTGGTGTGGCAACTCGAACTGATGCACGTACCTACGAAGTTCTACTTTGTTACTGACTGACTGTTAATCATTGTCAATTTATTTGTTGAAAAAATCTTTTTCACGTTTTGTTTTCTATCCCACATAAAGATATGGAAGATCCAAACAGTCCACTACTTGCTAATGATGATTTGATTGATGTTAATAGCTGGTTATCAGGTTTATTGTCACTTGGTATGCCGGCGTCTATTGCTATAGCTGTTAGTACAATTGTTATTCTTATATTGGGTATTGGAGTTGTGATATGTTGTTGTCATCGTTGTTGTCTAATCAATCAAACATATAATAATCAGTATTCAAATAATAGACTTGCGTTTAGAAATGGTGGAATTTTTTTAGATACTTTCAGTCGTCCTATAACTGCAGCAAATAATAATTATAGTTATTCTAGATCACAGCATCTAGGTGTAATGTCCGTCAATACTGGTGCACAGTCACAGTTATCAGATCGTATAAATTTGATATCTCATATAGACGGTGATCAACAGAAGATTGATAGGAATTGGCAGCAGAGTGCTTCCTTTCCTCCAGACATATTGATGACAAGGGGGGGAAGCTTTTCACGACGTAACTGTAATGAACCTAACCAACATCACCAAACGTTCAATCAGTATTTGACATCATCCCAAAATATGACTACAGAAAAAGAATCCCGATTACACTGTTTTACCAAAACTCCTTTGAAGCTACCACTGTTAGATAGGTATTATCCTTTGTTAAATCCTCCCAATGAAACTATGCGATCCCAGTATTTTGTTTCTGTCGGTCATCATGGTAGTGACTCCTATTCATTAACTAATAACAATTCGGCCAGAGTATATGATCTTCAAAATGGTCAACCAGGGCCTCTTCCTGCTCTAATTCACGGGGCCCTAGGCAGTCCATGCACTTACAGAAGAGGTAATTGTTTTAAGTTATGCATGATTTATTCTCAGTTATTGTATTTTCTCTGTTTTCCTGTAATTGTAACAAAGCAAACTGTAACTGAAAGTACAAGGCAAACAATGTTAGACAAGGGAAAATGATGCATAAGTTCAATTTTATGCACTTAGAAAATATTTACTACTAACACGCCTCTTGATAATCATATTCGGTATACATTAGACCAATATGTTTGAAATTCAAGGTCAATACCTTCACCAACAAGGAAACAACACAAATTAGTCGATTCGAACTTATGGGCTATCCATATATGATTAATATGGCATATGCTCATTAGCACGATATCTACTGACTAATAGAACCAACTGATTAGCTTCGATGGTTTCGGGTCATTCATCATTATTCCCCATTAGTGTGTGGGATTTCTCAATCAAGGATCATAAAGTATGATTGTAAATGGATTTTTCCAGCGGTTACCTCGTTTGCACCAATATTTTCTTTTCAAATCATATCTTCAATGCATAATCCTTCATATTACCACTAATACTGTTACTACTTCGGATACTCTAGGATTTGTCCTGGAAATTTCACCTCTCTTCTAATGGGATATGGGAATTTCAACTGATTTACATATTTATCAGGTTCTCATCATCATCATAAACAACGTAGAACCTGACACATGTGCAATATTTCAAGTCGCTATACTACATTGACACGGAGATAAAAACATTTCAAGACATATACCAGAGTACTGGAAGTAGTACCAGTATCAGTAGTAGTAGTAGTAGTAGTAGTAGTAGTAGTAGTTAGTAGTTAGTAGTTAGTAGTTAGTAGTTAGTAGTTAGTAGTTAGTAGTAGTAGCAGAAAAAAAGATTAAATATAGAAATGAGAAAAAAATGGCATAAGGGGATTTCGGGACTCGGGGAAGACAAGGTGTGAATGTACCTCGACCATTGTGAACGGCTATAAGCCATGCGATAATCACGCGAACGCTAACTAGTTAGTCTATATCAGTTAGTCAGCTACAACGTGGGACCAGGCACATATACATCGGTCTGAGTCGCCACATTTTATTAACACAACAAGTTGAACACCAAATTCATATAAGTAGTTACTTTAATGGTAGTAATATATAGAAGAAAGATTGTGTATAAGGATATAATGCAGGAAGAAAGAATTAGTTCGTAGAAAAAAAGGTACAAAGCAATTTTAATCTCACAGTTTAAGAGAAGGCAAAGAGTGTATACACTTATGCCATTGTGATCGATTCTGAGTCATGTCACCCAGAGTCTCCAACCATTGGTTACGATAGTCGCGCGGGCCTCAACCAAGTAGTCCGCATCTACCAACCTGGCTCTTACCAGAAGTTGGTGACTTCAAGCACTGATGCCACGTTTTGGTTTGACCGCCCCTAACTTTCTTCCATCCATCTCCAAAACTAGTGACCCGACTATCTCAGTCGATGAAGATTTACAACCTCATTGATTGATTTGCCATCATTTCCTAATACCCTGCGTCATACCTCACTACTACTTACCAGGTAATCCCAGAAGATGCTGGCAATATTCCTAAGACATCTGTGATCAAATACTAGTAGCTTACGAGTATCTTCTACTCTTAATGATCACGTTTCGCAGCCGTAAAGTAGAATAGAACGAATTACTACACAATACACTGGTCCTTTCATTGATAGACGGATATTTTGCTTTCGCCATAGGTGACGTAAGTTGGTAAAAGCCAAACGAGCTTTTTGAATTCGTGTAGAGATTTTGTCAGACATTAACCCATTAGGGATGATCAGACTTCCGAGATAAGTGAAGTTGTCAACGCGTTCGACTACTTCACTCCCTATCCTTAGTTTAGGTGTTGACACAGGCAACAACTTGAATTTAGAGGAGGAGAAACGCATTCCAAACATCCTGGTATTGTTGCTCAGTGCTGCCAAAAGACCATGCCAATAGACGTAGACCAACTGAGTTGGTTTAAATTTATTTGCATGGTTCAGTCCAGTTGTCAGTGAATTCATGGGCTTGTGCCGCATCCTAGTTTTGCCGCCCCTAGCTTTCAATATATTCCTACAATAGACAACATTGTTCGTCCAGGTAGGCGATAATTGGGCTTACGTAACAAATGAGACTGACTTGGAATAGTAAAGGATGATTCGAAAAGTATACAATTGCGTGAAACAGCATGAACTATATACTGAATAAACAACTTGGAAATTATTATTCCAATTTACGTAACAATTTTTTTATCTTCTGCCAGGTAATGGTAACATTTAGCGTAGCGAAACTCATAGTATAAACCAACACTCATTTTAGAAATTGAGACAGTTTGAACTAATGTGCTATTTTTCCAAGTTCTACATTATTTTGGTCAGTCAGTTATGTAATTATCTTACTTTAAAATAGGATATTTCTACTTATTCCTTCTCTCACTGACCCTTAGATCCATTGTATTATACACCACCACCCCATGGGGCATTTAATGTTCCCCCTGCCAGCATCGTAACAGCAAGTAGCAGTCGAACTGGAACAACTAGCGGTGGTCCACGTGAATCTGTAAAGTCAGGACGTGATCAATCAGTTCCTACAATGGGTTATAACACTTCAGGGAATGGAAGTGGTATCGGAATATGTAATCAACAGTTAGATGGAGTAGAATCAGTATTACATACTAATACGCCTATAGAATCTATATCACATGGCGGTGACCTTAGCTTGAATGGCGGTATCCTTTATTTGGGTAACATGTACAGACCTTTATCTCCACAAAATTCCAGTTTATTTCAAGTAGAGAATCTTGGTCGTAGTTCAGTTACTACTACCGGTAGCGGTAGTTCATGTGATCGAAAATCTCATCACTATTTCCTTAGAGAAATAAAGTCTCATCATGACGACACTGAAGCATATCTACAGAGAAATCCTCATCAACAGTCTACTTATGATTTATTTAAGAAAAGTTCTAGACGTTCAAAAACATCCTCTCGTCCTCAACATCACCATCATCTAAAACATAAGTCAATTGATCCTAATCATACTATTTCGATTGGTTCACATACATCAGCTAGTTCACGTTCTGGTGCTTTGCTTAATTTACCCCAATTATCTTATGATGATCACGAACAACCTTTTAGTCGATTTCTAATATCTGCTGTAACAACTTTTTCTAGTGATACTGGACCATCAAACCACCAACCTATAGTATTCCCTGTACAGTTGTAAACGTGCGTAAAGCCGTTAAAAACCAAATCAGTAATGCTTCAGGATATTTATTTTGAATTTTCTTCATTAAAGTAATAGATATCCGTTTTAATTATTACCTAAACACAAATAAAGTGTTGGAAATTTTATTTCTTGTTGTTTATTTGTTTGGTCAATCGTAAAATTGTTAGTCATGTTGTTTTCTTTTTGATTCCAATGTTGGTATTTTTTCCTAATCATGTGTAGTTGTGATTTCGTTGCATTTCACCTACTTACTTGACATTATTGTGTTTTGTTATATATGTCACTCCTTTTTTGTTGTGAATTAGTTGTAGTAAGGCTCACGTAATACTGTATGTATATACACAGAGTTGGTTTAAGTTGTAAACAATTTATCTAAAATGTATGACATCTCGGTTTTAATTATTTTTTTAAACTTCAACTACAAACAGGGTTTTTTCTATGTTGTTTTACTATTTTACATGACAAACTAATCGTACTATGTGGACTCTCATTTCCTATATTTTTCCCTTGCTTATAAGATGTGGATGTGTAATATAAAATAACTTTTAAACTGTTTAATTTTCTTTTTTGTCATTTAAAATAATTGTGTTGATATTTTCGTTATCTCTGAAGATGTTGTTTTTCTGGAGATCCATCCTTTAGTCTATTCATATAAATATTCGAGTACCAATTAATCGATCATCAGCTCAGAACCCACTCTTCTCAGAGCGCTCCGTTAGTCTAGTCATTCTATTTATTCCCTCTTATAATTGCTAATTTATCTTATAATTATTGTTAATATTATCAGTCTTTTATAGTGAAATCTGATCAGTATTATGTATTTATATTTGTAATTTCAATAAAGATCGACATATGTATAAATATTTTCTACAATCCACGAGAACCATCAATTTTAACATTAGGTTACATTAACATTTGTAATTGTACATGTATTTTATTCACACACAAGTACTATTCTATACAACTTGTTTGCTTTTTTCAGGTTATTTATTTAGTATTTTCGCATTTATATGCCATATTTACCGTTTTGTTGATTGTGTTGCTACTTTTATTTGATCAGTAATAAATTTTCTTTTTAAAGATAAGTATATAAGACAGTCCTTAAAAATGTAGTATTTCATGTATATAGCTGCGGTTAAATAAGAGTACACAGTTTGATTCGGAATGATTGTCTGAACTTTATGCCATGACTTATGGCTTTGTTAATTATCACATGATTTATTCGCCAATCAGAACATCGACTTATGTGACTAGACCAATGACGCACAAACCAGTACGAGCAGCCTTGCGTCAACTCTGAGTCCTGATTGGTCCTTCTTTCCTAGTACTTACAACTGAGGCCAGAACACTAATATCAGCTTCCACTTTGCGGATCATTTATTTCAGACACACTTGGTTTCTATATAAGCAAACCAGCCCACATCATGTCGTAAGATAAAGAATAACAATTATACAAGATCAAGCCAAAAAGTGGCTGTGATAGTGAGATACTGTAACTAATAGATTGGGAATAACTTAATAATAGTAAATCGTATAATAGTGTCAATTCGTCAAATGGAAACTTATAATAAGAGGAATATGAATATACATATAATATAGTTACTTGATAGTTATCCAATGAGAATATGCAATACTAGTCTATAAATAGATCCTAGCAGTTACCGTTCGTTTATTCCTCATTTGGATAGAACACTAGTTTTGCACAATTTTTACGTAGCAAAATTTTAAAATGAAATGATATTAGTGAATGAATCCGTTATCAATAAAGCCAAGACAATCCAGTGATGAATAGTATTCCTTAGTTAAGTCAGTTAGTCTATTAATTTTGCAAATTCTATAGAGTAGATTATTGATTAGCTGCTAGTTCAAAATTATTAATTGGCCAAACATTAAAAATGATGTGTAATTTATTATCATTATTCCAAATGTTGTTTTAATTAGTAATTGGTGAATAAATCAGTCTGTTTCTACAGTCTTATTTCTTTCCCTTGGTCTTCAAAGCAGTTTCGTTCCATCGCAGTCATTGGCAGTATTTCACAGTTTAGCAAACAACCGCATCAGTAGTAATAATTATAAGCACTTACTTTCAAGTCACAGCCTCGATAAGTCAGTACTGTTTCAAGATATAACCGAATCAAACATTCTTCACTAATAAGCATTTTAAAGTTGATTTGACATTTTATAGTTCGTGATATTAATATTTCGATTTGATAAATACAATCCTTCACCTATAATGTACATGCTCTATTTGATACATGACTTAGTTTAGAAAGCGATTATTACAATTATATTCATTTTTACCTTTAGATAAATAGGTCGAACTCCCATCAACTTTACAGTGTAGTCCCTCATAAGAATTTCGTATAACGATGATTTCAGGTACTTCATAGTGTCAAAGTAGACTCCATAAGGTTCTCTTCTTTACGCTGTCGAATGCATTTACATAATCGAATTCGTCGATGTATAGCGATGAGCTCCATTCAACCGATAGCTCAAAAATAATCCGTAATACCACGAATCGGTAGATACATGATCGATCCTTAAAAAAGTCAACAATTTGTTCTCGAAGCCGAGCGCCTTCTGAAACTTCCGTTCAGTTGAACACTCGAAAACTTCGTCTGATACTAATAGTAGTACGATGTTTCTGTGGTTCCCTCACTTAATAATTTCCCGTTTCTTTAGTCTCTTGGCAATATATCCCTCCTTCAAATCTGTTTGTACTCCTTTTTCCCAAAGGTTTATGAAGAGAACATGGAGCATCTCTTCAGTTACCTGATTTGAGCGATTCTGCTGCTAAGCTGTTTGATCCAACTTCTGGTTTGCCACTCTTAATTTGTCCGATGGGGCTGCTGACTTCTTTTATTCTTGGTAGATTGACATTTATAGGAAGGTTTGTAGGTGCTGCTTCGATATTGAGTAGGTTCATTGGGGTTGGTTTATTCAAGAGCTTTTCAAAAGGTTCTGCTTACCCGTTTTGTTGCTCTTGAATCTCAGCTATTGGTTTGCCTTACCTGTCTTTCACTGATCCCTCTGCATTACTTTATTTCCCTGCTGACTTCTTTGTTGTATCATATAGTTGTTTTATATTTCCTCCTCTTGTAGCTTTTTCTGCTATCATTAATAGGTCTTCCACGTATTTCCGCCAATTAGCTCTAATCCTTATGTCTATTTGCTTGTTTGCTTCTGTGCATTCGGCCCGTGCCTTGGCTCTCTCTCTTATTCGCCTATTGTTGAATGTTGTCTTCATGTTCTCTCATTCTTGAACCTTGTATAGGCTGTCTGCAGAGATCCACTAATTGTACTGGTGTTTCTATGGCCCAGAACCTGACTTGTTGAAGTTATTGCCTCTTTAATCTCTTTCCAATTGTTAACTGTAGTGTTTTCCTTTTCTTCTACTGGATCTCGTAAGGCCTGAAACTTACTGATGAGAGCTGTCTTTAATCCCCTGAGCTCGGTACTACTCAAAAAGGGAGCTTGTATCAAACTTTTATAATGCTGTTTGTCCAGCTGTCTGTAGGCTTTTTAACCTCAGTTCTAGTTCGGCCATCATCAAATGGTGATCGGAAACTACCTCAGCTCCTCACCTTATTCTTACGTCTTCTATGGACCTTCAAAACCTGTTATCAATGCAGATATGCTCGATCTGGTTTTCTGTGGTGTGGTCCGGTGAAAGTGAGGTGACTTTGACTTCATTGGGATGGTCAGGTCTTTCGTTTGGCATTTCTCTAAGATGGACTGGAACCGCAATAAATTAATATTTATCGTCGTTTCTGACGTAATTGTCGAGAGAATATCATTGGCACGTTCAAAATTGTCTGAATGTCCTTTGTACTTATATTTGTTGTTGCTCTAGCTTTCAGAAAGAAAATCCACTTACTGACTCCTAAAGAATCTCTATTTTTATCATGATGCGCCATAACTCCCCTCTATGTCGTTTCTTCTATTCCCTGGTTAGAGTTTAAGCGATTTTGACGATTCTTCTGGTTAGCTTTTCTTACCAAGGTTTTTTTCACGGGATGAATTTAGTAAACCTTATAAATGATCCAAGCGCAGTTTTTGGCTTTTTCATTGAAACATAATTCTTCTCAATGTCTCTGCAGGTTCTTGGACAAATATTTGTTTTTATCTACGGTTGAAATATTATTCCGCCTACCTAATAAAGTATCGTGATCACAAAAACGTCTTTAGTGAAATTTAAAAAATATTACTAACTACTTGAAAATGTTTTTCATTTGTAGCAGTGTACGAGTTCGATCTTCTCTGATACTCAGGACATACCTTAAAGTCTCCAAAATTCAGCTGCCTCGTCAACAGCAATGAAGAACATCTTTACAAGCCCATCATTGTAGTATCTTCAAAATATCATTTTTTCAGAAACGTAAATTTATATTGCCGAAGTAACTGATAAATACAATCACTTTGTAAAACAAAATAGAATTTGATGGAAGATACGGGATAATGAGTAAATACGGGTAAGAATTACGCCTATAAGTAAATCACAACTCTAACAGATCAGTGACTGAGTGAAGATAGGACATCAAGGTCAAACAAATTTGAGGTTGTGGGCAATTTCCGAATAGCATGAATGATAATTTACTTATGACTAAATACAGTATTTCCTAGTATGAGTTTATGGAGATTGCCGAATTTCATTGAAATCATGAACCGATCAATGTTAAACCACCATTTAAAAAGCGGAAGCACCAAACGGCCTTTACGTCATAGTATGGGATTCCTCACCAGTTGGCATCCATAATCCTGCATGCGGGACTCGACCAGTCCACAATATTTATTTATTTATTTGAACACATACATATTGGTACAAGAGAGCGCCAAATATATATACGCCACACAAAACAATGAGAATTCGAAGAGAAAAAAGGTAAGGAGAGTAAAAAAGAGAACAATAACGAAGAGATTGGTGTAAGGTAGTGTGGTAGTAATGAGGGAACGGAAAGGTACAATCAGAATAAATCTTTCAGTTAAGGGAGACACAACCACGTTTTATGAAGAAAGTAAAAGAAGGTTACAGCAGGATCGCCACTAGCTTCTATTCTGAGTCATATCTGATAACGTCTCTAGCCACTGTGTAGCACCATCTCTCGGACCCCAACCAGGGAGTCGTGAAGGACCAACACAAGCCAACCCTTTGCAGCTTCCTTTCATCCCACGATACCATATCATATACTGACCACCTCTCCGCTTTTTCCAACCAGTCCCAGAGTCGGCAAATAATGCACGACGTAGAATTCTCTGGGACGACATTCGAAGAACATGTCCAAGCCACCGAAGTCGGTGTTTCAAGATGGTGACACCAATTTCATTATCGTCTCTGTTTCCGAACACACGATGCCGAACCTTTGCATTACTGACATGGTGTTGCCACTAAATGTCAGCAATCCTTCGGAGACAGCGATGATCGAACACAGAGAGTCGTCTAACGTCCTCGACTCGGAGAGGCCAGGTTTCACAAGCATGGAGCAAAACTGCTCTCACCGACGCGTTGTAGATTCGACCTTTAACAGCCAGACTAACATCACGAAGGCGCCAAAGATGGCCCAGATTGGCATGAGCCGCTCTGGCTTTCATTATACATGCATTGATCTCACCACTCACGCCACCACCAGCACTTATGCAGCTACCCAGATAAGTATAAAAGAGGGTGAATAATGACGTAGTAAATAATAATAATAATGATAATAATAATAGCAATAATAATAATTGAATCATTTGAATGTTCGTCGAAGCAAGAGAATTAGTTTCCATGATCATAGACAGTTCAGTTCATTAATTGCGTGTGGGCTGCGATACTGCTCGGGTGCCGAGACCGAAGCAGGTGGTTGTCTTAGGAGGCCACACCCCGAGCCTTTGACCCAAAGGTCTAACCCACAAGGCAGTGGAGCATCAGAAGGAGATGCAGTCCCATGGTAGCCGGTGACCGAAAATGGGTTCATACGCTATTTGTTCCCGCAGGATACTAGTACCCATGTGTACCATAGATTTGGAATCTGGTTAAAGCGCCGGACATACGCTTTTCGTCCTCTCATTTTCGTAAACAACACCCCCGCCACGAGAAGGCAATGAGTAGGACTTCCCTGGCAGACGATGTATACGCGTGGCCGTGTGAGAGTGGAGAGAGGGTGGACTCTCCCTACCCTAGGCCATGCCAGGGCATTTGGGGGTAGTCCACAATATCTATTTAATCATTTCTTTTTAAGTAATCTATCTTGAAATTTAGATCATTCGATTGTCTTTGCACTCGATTTATCAATAACATAGCAATTTTACGAACAACACTGAAGATTCGTATTCATATGCCTAATAACGAACTTGCCTAATTCTTGTAAACAAAATGGATGGTGGCTAGCAATAGAATGCAGGATGCGCGTTCCGTCTTATTATGTTACTCGCTACTATCCATCTCTGCTTATAATGCTTATGATTTAAAGCAACATCGAGGCAATCCACACAGGATTTACACATGCCAATAAGAGGCTGACTAATTGCAGTCTTGAATGTTACTGCGTAACAAGTCATTATGACCAATCAATCTTATATTTAGACCCAATTTTGCATCCTTTGATTTTCCAATTCCTTTAAAGAAAACCTAAGGATACACCATTATATTCACCAACCACCGTTTATTTGGCAATGATTTCATCCATAAACGTAGAACTTATGCATTAATATGGAGCACTTAAGAGCAACTATTTGACAAGAAGTATGTCTTTTCTCAACTTATGTTTCAAATGTCTCACTTTATGGAATTGCTTTAATTTTCAAACATTTCCTATGATCACTTGGTATGTTTGACAGAAACCTGTTCTCATTATCTACAGTGTAACGGACTAATGTAGTGAACGAAGGCTTAATTAGGGTGTATCACCATATTTTAATATGCAAAATCACACACTGTATTTATAAAATATGAAAATCATACAAT